GGAACTATATCATTTTGAGAAACCTTTGTTTAAAATTAGTGCGAAAGGATAAATGGAGGTTTCAAGAAATCCTGGCACAAATTTGGTTTCAATCCAAAGCTCCTATATATGCGTATCAATGCCACGAGAAAAGTGAAATACGGAACACCGGCACCAAGGCATGCAGGACGCGTTTTCACTACTACTGCTGCTAAAGCAGCCGAATTCCTAAAACTCCAGTTCCATGAAGTGTTCTCTGCAGGTGATAAAGTCGGACTACAGCTTCCATACCATCTACCAAGTGCTCCATACCCTGAAACGACCATCGTCAACTTCAAATCTGAAAAGGTACAAGTCAACCTATTGGCTCTGTGAAGGAATTCATCTCCACGGGAAGACAACATCCAGGGTTCAATACCACGCCTGACTTATCGGGGCCTTATGTGGTTCGACACTAAGTCTCATTGCTTGGGTTGCCGGTTACGATCACTGAACAGCAGGTCTTCATGACTATGAGGTTCCACCCCGTCTGCTGCCCATCACACATCGGTGTAATAAAAAAACCACCAGATCTAATGGGCAATCTTCACGGTCATTGTAACCTGGAGCCGGTTCGTAAACCTCTTCTTTAAGGTTTTGAAATAAGGGTTTCCCAATTTTACACACAAAAGCTAGTAGTAGACAGATAACCAACTCGGTAACGTGCCAGGAGATACTCCTTTTTCGCTTTCTAACTTTATTGAAAACGCCGTCACTATAAGAGAACAAAGTAGGTCATTTCTCAGTAGATGATTCAAGAGATGTAATTTGTGAGAGCATTCCTGTACTTTCAAATAGAGATCACTCTTAGCAGTTATTCCTGTGCATAGAACTATTTAAAAACAATGCAGTTCTGATTGACAGAAAATTTGTAATCCAGTAATATCTACTACAATCTATATCGATGTAATTTCATCTACAATACTGCAGTTCGGAAGTCTTCATTGAAGTGCATTATTTCGTGGAATGTGATTGTTTTTTTTCAGTTTTGTTTGCATAATTCTTCTCCGTAGATAATCAATTCTATCACGAAATCACTAATTCTGGAGATAAAAAATGCATCAGATGCAAACTTTTTCTCATTGTAACCATTAATAACAGTAGAAGCAAAACAATGTGAACTACAGTGAAGCCGAATTAGCTATTTCTATTGAAAGTGAACGGAAATAGGTAAAACGAATAGAAAATAGGACTGTTTAAGAGCGGAGAAAGCGAACCCGAATATCCAACATAGAGTACACTGCTCAGTTGAAGATACGAACCCCTTTAAGAAACATGACTTCATTATTAATGAAAAAATCGATGGCTGTAAAAACGCTGGCATGACTTGTGTCAAGTGTCATCCAACTTTGGTGATACCGTCAGATAAAATTCAAACATGATGTTCCTTTTTTATTAAAATGATGGACGAGTGCCATTGGAGACGATATATAAGAACATATTCTGGTCAATTCGGGTCTAGACTGGTTGATACAGTAGTGACGCACGCGTCCCCCGGGAGGATTCCGGGGTTCAAACCCAGGATGAGCCAGTGGATATATACCAATGATGAGCAATGATGTGAGTGAGATTTCAGTTGGGAGCTTTCTTAGTGTGGTCGATTGGATGACGTAAGCAGTGAAGACAACGTCTGAAGGTTGGTCACTCAAGCACACGAAGTAGAGTGGGAATACAATACCTAACGAACTTACCTGGGAACCGAAGTTTCTCGAGCAATGTATTGACCGGTTCAAGTGGTTTGGCCTGTGTGATTATTGCCCTGAGGATATCATATGCTTGATCTCGTTCACCTGCCTCCAGGTATAGTCCAGCAATCCGCGTCCGAATAAAACCCCAATAAAGCAACTGGTTTGTGGTACTGATGCATGGGAACGATGATTGGAAACTCTCCAACAACTCAATGTAAATACGTAGGGCTGCATTTATGGCATTGGTTAACGGATTGGTACGATTCAAACGGATCAATTCCAAATTTCGCAGCTCACGGATTGCTTGGCTGTTATCCTGAATAAATGCTTCTACCTGACTGACCATTGGTAAACTTTACCCGATCAACTGGACTGCAAATGCGTAAAGGGAACCTGTAGCAGAAAACACAATGAGCTGCAAATATGACCGAATATTATCCAAATGGACCCAGAGAGCACATTGCAAATAGAATAAGCTCGTTTTCAGGGATTTTTAATCGTACCAATAAAGCATGATACAGCAGTATTAAAACGAAAAAATGTTTGAGGGTAGGGTAAAAGTCACATCACGTCATTTGGGGTCCATTTAGAGACTAGATATGAGATTAGTAAAGATGACAAATGTTTCTGTGTTTATCCCATTATTCAGATTACTCGGGATGTGCAGGTGGGTCACGGGATCTTGAGCTTAAGAAAAAATTGTTTTGGATCACAGAGAGGGGGATTGTGTAGTTGTTCATTTTCGAGTCCGGCCATAAGCAAATCAAAAAGCAACAATCTTAGCAGTGATCCCATGGCTGCAACATTCCTTTTCCGATAAATTTCCTGGCTGAACTTAAATCGGACGTTTTACGGGCCGACACAAAGCAGCTGTTTTAGTTCAACCGAAGGAAGGCACGTACTGAAGAACTATTTGTGCTTTTCACTGACAAGACCATTAGAGAAAAACGAGGTGAGTTCCAGTGAGAATATGGCTCGACCGGTCCAGTTTGAGTCACAAAATTGAAGGTCTATCGTATGCTATATGTTGTTATTACAATACGAACAGGTTCCAGTAACTTAGCCAACTATTTTACTAGGGCATGCTTTTATGCGTTACTTGTGCAGAATCCGTCGCAACGGTACCCCCTCTTTGTGTAACATCTCGGAATCGTCGTTTCCCTCGGCTGAATACGGTTCAAAAGGGGTAGCATTGGTGACTACACTTTACTTTAAACATCTCATTATCTTAGATAACGCACCTGCTTAGAAACCCATCCCTATATCGAGCAATGTTGGACGATCGGATTAAGGAAGAAACAAATACTAGATCAGTGCGAATCCCATATTTGGAGTCAACGGTGGGAAGTCTTTCCTCAACAAAACAATTTACACTTCACTAGTGTTATGTTATGATCCATTGGTACGATTACGAATCACTGAAAACCAGCTTTTTTGCTACTGCGTGCTCTATTCTTAATGATTATATATATAATTATTCTTGAGGATATAGTTTTTTATGACCATCACCATGGATAATAAGTTTTTATTTTATAATAAGGGCTTTAAGATACGATGTTCGAATCCTGTTATTACCTAACTTGAATTGGAAGCAGCTTCACTGCCACCCAATGGAATATCACACTTTAAGTGATGAGATCCTACATAACCAACAACTCCGAGGGATCAGGTAGCCAGTTCCCACAACAGAACCACAGCAAGAGGATAAATTACAGGTGGGACCGCAATTTTCGGTTTCATCATAGGGCCTCAGAAAAATAGACAATCACCTGAAACTCCAGTGAACTGTACTAGCAGAACTACATCTGATAAGAATCCTGTTCCCCTTCTCCCGCGTCCAGCTACGATCATCCTCCAAGACTTAACAAATCCGTCTCACCGTTTGATACTCTTATTCGTTTCCACTTCTCCTTGAAGCTTTTCACACCAACCGTGCGAACCCAGGTGCAACAGCTCTGTGACAGCGCCAATAACAAGGATATAAGTATAATCCCCACTACCTGTTACCTGATAATTTAAGTTTTGTTTTATACAGCTATTGATTAATCGTGCTAGGTAAATGTAAAACTTTCGTGCGGCGGTTACTGAATTTTTGTTGGATTTTGAGTCGTTCCTGGACGTATCGTTCATAATTTTACTTTCCAGCAAATGCATCTTCATGCTTCCCAGAGACCAATGATTACGGTATTATTCGAAAGTCGAACGGCATTAAATCTCATGGATGAGACTGCATTGCAGAACTCTGTTGAGAAATGGAGTACCTGAATCTGCGACTTGATCGCCGAAGATTCGCGTTGCCACATCTGAAGTCCGTTTAGGGCTCATGGCAAATTTTGAACACCATCTGTTGTCTCAGTAGAGTTCGACACGGCTGCCCTATATCCCCATTCCTTTCCAATCTTGCCATAGTGTTCTACAGAATGCTTTGTCTGGTCCAGCAAACGGTGGGGCTAAACCCCTTCTAGGAAGCAGAGTTCTCCACTAAGAATATTCCGAGGACATCACCTTGCTGCGACTATACATGGGCAGTTGAACATGGTGTGAATGTCTTGGTGATTTATGTATCTAGATATGATAATGTGCTCGGCACCATCTAAGCACAAGTTGTTTGGACAAGATTGGCAGGAGTCCGTGCTTTCCATCACCGCTTTTGTGATGATCAGATAGAGATGGTTGAGAGCTCTAAGTACCTCGAGAGCTTGATGATAGAAAACGGTGTTGTAAGAGATCAGAGGACAAATAGAAAAAGCTGGAGTACCTTTTGCAACCTACGACACCACCAAGACATTTGAATTTCCCCTAAGGAAAGGCAGAATAACACAAAAATACTGAATAATATTTATCGAAAACTCAAAGCTAAGGTTCACCCGATTTTTATCAGTTGACTCAAACAGTAGGTAAATTCCTTGAAATTAATTTGGTACATATTGAGTACTTTAAGAATGATGCTACTTTTGAGTATAACTCCTAGCTCTCAGAGGCTCACACTAATATTTTCATAAGCGAATGTCAAGAAGATCGAATCTTTTGTGCAAGCACTCGAAATCAAAGTCT